CACAATTCATTATAACTCATCATGTACAATACAACATATATATAATCAAATATGGATAATCACCAAGCATATTCATCATGCACGTATCCATAAATCTCAACATTCCACATGAACATACACATATTATGTTTACTCACTAATTCACAATTACACATTCACAATTCTCAAACCAACAATTCATGTTCATAAGCATACTTTCATACAATGATCACATATTCACAACTCTCAATTACACAAGTAATGCACATACGCATATCCACCATTCTCACCATACTTCATCATAACTCATCATATACTTCACAAAGCATATATATATATATATATATATATATATATATATATATATATATATATATATATATATATATATATATATATATATATATATATATATATATATATATATATATATATATATATATATATATATATATAGAAATATGGTCAATCATCAAACATATCCATAGTTCACAATTACACAAGTCATGCACATACACCTATGCATTACTTCATACAACAATCATATATTCATTCCATGAGACTCAATGCAACTCATGCCATGTGGTACCAACACTTGTTATCATTTTTCGGTTTTTACACTTAAACCGGGTCCGTTCCCTAGACCGATAACAACAAAAGCCCGTTCCCTAAGCTTTCAAACCCCGCTCTAGGTTTGGGACAAGTCACTAGCCTCCACGAAACTAGCAAACATTGCCTCTTGACTAAATGATGCATATGCAATCAACAACAAAATGCACTTAAGACCGATCACACGTCTTAATCCCATGCATTCACATAATTCCTCCCTTCAAGAATTAAACAAGATTGCACACACAACATATCATATAATCAAGTATTCATACTTTTCATCAACATATTTGTCAAACAATGCACGCATATCTTACAATATGCTCTCATGCATTAATTCACAATAATCGGATACAACAAATATGCATTCATAATTTAACCTCATTACCTTTTCAAACAATGCACACATATTCACAATATATTCTCATGCATTCTTCACATACAAACAATACGCATATATTTGTCAAAAGACTATATTTCATAATCGATTCCACCATCTAGGATTCACGCCATACGGCTACCCACAACATATCATATCACAACATGCACAAGCTATACGTTATATAACAAAAGTATTCTGCACAATAACACATCAATCACACACATTCGCGACGGTAAAAATCAACACAACAATATGTTTTCAATTTTCTGCTATAATTGAACTAGGTACAAGCCTCAAAGCCATTTTTTCTAGAAAGGTAATATCGTTAACTTACCAACGCTTCGAACGGGGGTCAAAACCGACTTACGGTTCAAGAGTTATGAATTTTTGAAGTTTTCCGAAAAACCAGAATTTTGCCTAAACACGGCTACGGGATTTTGTATTTTCGCCCGAAAATCCGACCGATTCAATTCTTTTTTTTCGAAACAAACACATACTCATACTCACCTAACATATAGCAGTGAATTAGAACCATTAAACACAATTTCTACGACGTCCGAGTTTCACTCAAATCTCAAACCCTCAATTATCCAAAAATGTCAAAACTCACAAACTCAACCAAATTCAATCAAACGAAATCCAATAATCACGACTAAACATTACCCGACTAAACTATGCAATTTATTTTGAATTCTAACCGTTCAAAACTCGATTCTATCGATTTAACTCATTTGCCCTAGAAATGGAAAATAGAGAAAAACACCCAACAAATCCAACACAACTCATACATAATCATACACATTGATCAAATAATAATGTTTCTCACCCTTACCTTGATTGGATTGAAGTTTGAAGTTGATTCTTGATGATTTCTCCAAGTTTCCCTCTTCTCTTCTCTTTTCTCCTCTTTCTCTATTCTTTCTCTCCTTTTCTTTCTTTCTTTCTCTTATGTTTCTATCTCTTTTCTTTTCTCTCCAATTTCCCTTATATATCCTTCTATTTTCTTTCCATCATAATTCTTCTCTAAAAAATACCTATCAATTCATTTCTCACAAAATATCTCATCTTATCATTAATTAGAGAATATCTAATAAATCCACATTATTCTACCAAGTAGAATAAATTAATTAAATCCATTAACTCATTTAAATAAATCCAATAATTTATTTAAATCAGATAAATCACATAAACCAATTAATTAGCACAATTAATCACTTATTGAAAAATTGGGCTGTTACAACTTCCAGTTCCTTCTTCATAACACCTTGCATACATCTTTACTAAACTTCTAGACCTCACACCTTTTCTCTCAAATATCTCTAAGCTTGGTGTTCAATCTATTTACCCCCAAGCTTATGGGAGGTATTAAAAGCTTAACCACCTTTCCACTTTGGTGATTATTCTGTTAGGTTTATAGTTTGTTTTCCTTTAGTCTTGGGCTGACTTGTATGAGGCCTAATTGCTATATATACATGGGCATCAATCTATTGTAAATTAATTCACTCATTCTATTTTTCTCATTGGGTCCAATGGACATTTTCAATGAATTTCTCATTATGTAATAAAAAACTCCAAATACTTCCATCACAAAGGAACCCTTAGAAAATATAAAAATCACATCACTACTATCTTGGATAAGAATGGGATGGAATGAACCAAAGAGAAAAACATCCATTCGGTATTCAAAGACTACTTACAGGAAATTATTCTACAAATATGTCTAGACCTAATGAAGATATCACTCAAGTCGTTCATAACAAAATCACTTTTGAAATGAATACCTACTTAAGCCAAAGCTATAAATTAAAGGAAACCATCATGTCCATCAAACATATGAAAGGCTTTGCATCCTTCAGTTCTGATGGGATTCTGACCATTTTCTTACCAGCAATAATGGGACATCATCGGAATTGAGATCATCAACACTGTTCTAAACATTCTCTTATGAAGGAGGAAGAAGAGACAAAATTTTGACTTTTTTTCATTCTAAGTTAGGTCTTATATAACTTGTACACCAATGACCATATTACCCCTTTCATTAGTAATTTTTAATTTTCTAAATTACCCTCAATGTTAAACCAAATTCCAAGTGACCTTTTCATCTGAACTATGACCTAGTAACTTAATTTTTTTCCTTAACTCCCATAAATATTTTGTCTTGATATATAATGTAATGTTTTTAAATGACGAAGTTTTCCTTTAGGGTAAAATGTTCACTTTAATCCTCGGTATTCTAATTCCACACTCTTCAACACATTTATGGCTCTCAACACACTTAACTCACTCCATACATCACAAGTAAGTCCCCAATTGATTATACAACAAAACACATCCATTAAATTGAATAAGAGAATGTGAGACGTTACAGCAGGCACCTTCTAGAAGGGCGACATTGTTGAAGCAAAAAGTCAATCCCAATGATTCATCATCCACCTAGTGGTATTGAAAGACATCATTGGAAGGCACTAAACTCTAACATTTTCCCTCACTGTATCTTTCTAATTGTCGGAAAAGATATATTGTCGGCCATGAATCCAAGAATAACTTCAAAAGATAATATGGTCTCTTACCTTCATTTCATTAGGATCCCGACCATTTGTCTCCTTAAAAGATTTAATAAAATAATCATTCAATCGTTCATTCAGGGTAATCTCAACAAGTCTCAGATCTACAGGAGATGACAAGGGAATAATGGTGATATCCGTGCCCCTAACAATATGACTATCATGGTCTCTTTTTTCATTTCCTTTGGAGGAATCATCCACACCTCCAACATAATTAAAATTAGAGGGTTCACTACCATTTTCAGTAGAACTCCCTCCAGACCTATGGTTATCGCTAAGCACAATGAGGTTCGCAATATGTTGTTTAACTTCTGAGGGGTCAATATTTGACATTTTTTGGTTCATTATCCTAGTAGTATAAGATGAATCATCAGTACTAGGTATATTTCTTACATTTGTAGATACATTTCTTTTGTGGGTCATATCAAGAGCAATAAAGAAGAGCACTTAATTATAAACATAAAAGATAAAAATGATACTTTAGAAAAACCAAAAACAGAGATAACAATTAAAGGAGATAACACAGAAGGTGTGTTAGATCAAGAAATGTATAACCCATAGAAGAAAAAAGATTGACAAAGTGGGTGTTGAAAAAGTTCATAGAAGAAAATCAAAGTGTGTAGGAGAAAAAGAAATTGTTGTTTGTGTAAAAGGAAAAAAAACGTTTATAAATCCCAAATGACCCTTATATAGAGAAGCGGGGAAAATTAGTCAAAGACTCATAATGAAAGGAAATGGAGAGACAAGAAAGCAACTGTTATATTTCGCCTCAAGAACACTACTACCCTTAAGTGCACTTGAGTATCCTGAGAATCTAACCAAGTTCTCTAAAAGGCTTCTCACTATCATCACGCCACAAGAAACCTTGGAGGCAACAGTTCTGAACCAATCAAAGACACTATAAGAGAAAACTCGCTTTTGATATAGATCTAGAATACTCCAACTAAATGTATGATTCAAATCCACTATTAACTCACACATCATTTTTCATTATCTCACAAATTTTAACATTAGATGCTAATCTTTTCATCACTTCTAAGAACTTACTACACCGTGCCAAAATTTTATTTCAACGTTCACCAAACAATTCCATTGCCTCAACAAAACAATTTTTAAAATATAAAATAATTTAATAATCACAGTTAACTTTTTAATGAATCTATATATAATTAAATATTTATTTTATAAATAAGACTGATATTTTTCATTTTTTTCAACAAAAAAAAGTACTTATTTCTCTTTGTACCCTAAAAAAGAAAATTCTTCAATTTGCAGCAAAGTCATAGTTTTCTCACCTCAAAATGGATAACAAAACTTCCACGTGGCATAATCTCAAGGTCCAATTATGCAAAAACCGGGCAACACGGTCAGCCAATAAGAACCTGCCCAAAATCTACCAAAAGTCCAAATACACCATTCAAAACTCACACCACACCCAAATCTTAATACACCACACAAAAAAAACCATGTCTAGCTTCACTCATGCCACCACACTACTCCATGCTCACATCAAAACCAAACACAAAATCACTTCAAACAACAACATTAACCACAACCACACCAACAACAACCATTCACCTTCTAAACAAAATGCAACCAATAGAAGAAATTTAATTTCAACATTTCTAGCCACATCAATGGTTGTTGGCACAGCACCATTAGCATTAGCACAGAATTGGGGCACTCGTTCTTTCATTAGAGAACATTATTTCGAGCCAGGACTTTCCCCTGAAGATGCAGTTTTAAGGATAAAACAAACAGCTGAAGGGTTACATAATCTTAGGGAAATGTTGGAAACTTTGTCTTGGAGGTATGTTATGTTTTATATAAGATTGAAACAGAATTATCTTGAACAGGATTTGAAAAATGCTATGACTACCTTGCCGGAAAATCGTCACAAAGAGTATGTCAAAACTGCTAATGAATTGGTTGATTACTTGACTGAGGTATGTATATTGTATGCTTAGCTTTGTTAGTTTGATCAATGAGTTCAATCATATGTTTTTTTTGAAACTATAGGCATAAAATTGTGTGTTTTGGTATTGTGACTTTTCAGATGGATCGATATGTTCGATCGCCAAAGGTATATGAATCGTACTTATATTACGAGAAGACATTGAAATCAATAGATGAACTTGTAGCTATGTTAGCATAGTGCAAAGATGAAGCTGCAGGGTATTGGTATTTTGAACTCTAATTGTGTATAAAACACCAAATCTTGACCTTATTTTTCTTTTGAATTTTGGATTTTTAATTGAACACATATAGAAGGTTTACTTGGATGTAAAACTTTAAGTATATAGTACAGGTTTGTCATTAGAATATGCAACTTCTAAGTATTTTTGATTGAAATGTTTGAATTATAAGTATGAACAAATCACAAACACTTGTCACAATCACGATCAATAAGTGTCTGGCAATTGTCGTAATGTCATTAAGAGGAACTTCAAATTGCTTTTTATCCAACACAAGGCTAAACATGAGTAACACACTTTGATACAAAATGTACACACACCATAGAGGAATACACACAATTTCATAAATGAAGAGAAATGCACGACCACCCGCTAGCTAGCATATATGATCAGTTTCGAGAGATTGCAACTTGTGATAGGATGATTATGATTACGAACATAGCAACCGCAATGTAAGAACCAATAAGAGAACCAGAAATACGTTCACAGAAACTGTTGTATTGTTGGCAAATAGGAAACCAATTGGCTTGTGTGTTTCCATAATGCGCTATGTACACAATCGATGCTGCTGCTGACGCTGCTGCGGTTAGCACACCCATCATTACCTTCACAAGAGTATTAACTCAAACTTTATTAACAAATCTTGATTAGCATAAGCAAATTACGGAATTAACATAACCATTTATGAGTGTATTTATTTACCATGTCAAGAACAATGAGGAGAATTCTAGTTTTTACTGCAGCGCTCCTCACTATATGGAATATTGACAGGACTAGTGAAAGTGCAAGATATCCACAAACAATTGAGTTTCCCATCACAAAAAACCTGAAATATTCATAATCAAATATTCAAAAAATATTTGATCCGTCCACAAATTTCAACTCAACAGACCAAAGTCAATATTGTTAGGTTGGACGCCATCACCAGAATTCAAACTCTGATACTCACAGTTATATATATCAGTTTCTAGGAGTTATTAGTAGCACTTACACGAATATACTTAATCCACGATGAATTTAATTTCTCATACCAACGTTAATTAGAAGAAAATAACACTTACACAAATGAGGGAAGATCATCATATTCAGCTCTGAATTGTATAAAAGCAGTAGCAAACGGAAGCCTCTCATCAGTTGTTGCCATAGCAACAGCACTAGCAAGTGTTGCAACACCTGCAACTATTCTCAAAATAAAATCCATTATTGATAACCCTCTTTTCACTCCTTTACTTCCAGATGCATTTTTAGACACTTCACCGAGTTCAATTGAGCCTCCCTTCATTTTTTTCCTCCAAACTTTAGGATATTATTATGTATGCAAATGCTTGTGCTTGGTAAGTATCTAAAACATGCACTTATATATATAGTTGTAGATTTTTTATTGTCAAATATGGTATTTCCTAAAATGATGTAAGGAAGAACAAAAATGGCCATTATACAAAGGATTAGGTTTTGCCAACCACAAAGTGGCTTTGTTTGTGTTCTATAGAGTAGGACACGTATATGTTGCGAAGATTTTGTTTGCATGCATATATGGAATGATGATATTATCAACTAAACATCCACTAAAGTCTTTCTTAAAAGATTATAAAATTAATATTGAACTAAACTATGAACCTGCTCGTACTTGTTCAACTATAGAAAGTACAAGGGACCGTATTCTAGCTGCTCCAATATAACCATTCATTGACTGTACTATCATATGAAAGGGCAGATTAAAAAAATCACATTGAGCAACGTAATTTTTGTAAAAGCTACAAAGTGTTGCCTCACAAAAACAAGTTAGTTTATAGTAACTTTTCAGTCTTGTTGGTTATCCAAACATTAGGTAGTTGTTTTTATTGATTATATAAGTCTAATACTTCTTCACATAGTTGTTTGAATAGTGAAAAAATTTACTTTGGAGATTGTTATTGGCATTCTTTGTGTGCTCACCCACCACGTTAAACAACTAATATCAATAATGCTTGAAATTTGACTTCCGAACACACTTAAAATATAAATACTGACAAAAACAAAGATAAAAATAATTTGGAGGTTAATCTTCGTATTTTTATAGAGATAATTTTGTTTTTGTACCGAAGTAAATTTTCGAATTAGTTTGATTTATATAATTGTGAGATACATTCTTTTTTCATTCTTCATTTAAAAAATTTATTCATAATTAAAATTAAAGTTCGTGAGCAAATTTCATTTCCACTATTTTTCAATCTTTATCACATTTCTTAGACATTACACTCAATCCAAGGATATTGTTCAATCTCTATTCTACTTTATTCAATCAAAATCAATTCATTTCTCACGTTTGGTAAAATTCTTATTTTTGTTTTGTTTTGTGATGCATTAGGTTCTAGTTAAACGCATAATAGGTCATTTATAGTACATTAAATTGTAGTTAAACCCATAATATGTTGTTTTTTTAGACATCATTTAATTTTTTTTTTTTAGTTTGAAGTTTATAGCTTAAAGTATGTTCAATTTCTGCGTTTGTGCTTTTTTGGTTTTACCGGGTATAAATTTTTCTAATATGCATATTTTATTTTATTTTGCTTGTTTTGTCCTCTGGGTTTAATTATTTGATTATGATATAATTTTATTGGTTTAATTAAAAGTAAAATGTCTGACAGCCAAGAAAAAATGAGACATGGTAGAGTAGTCCGACATGCTTCTATTCGGAGGAAAAAGGCTAGTCCTTACGTCCAGCAGTTGGTGCCACTTTATTTGATGCAAAAAAATAAATAAATCATCTTCTCGAGTTTATATGTCTTCGACATCATTTTTCTAGAAGCATGTGTCTCCTGCTACTGTCCTAGAAATCCTATAAGTCCAACATGTTGCCCTAGAAGCCTCAGAAGTCCAATATATTGGTGTCGTTTCTGATGTTTTTTTAGGAGGCCCTCAAACACCTCACTACTTTACATATATGCACACCATACTGCTAGACACGTGTGGGATGGAGACATAAAATAAATTTATATTTATTCTTTTAAAAATATGTGCTATAAGATTTGAACTTTCTGACGATGGTCTATTTTTTTACAGTACAGTGAGATGTTAAAATGTATAAACCATAGTAGGAAGATTGTGAAGCTGCTGCAACCTGATGAACCACAGTTTCAGGATGTCATGCAAATATATAGCTAGGTTGCAAGATTTATGCAAGACTAGGCATACTAGAAGATGTGATTGTAGTCATGCACCATCCCGTGTATCTAAAGATATTTCTGAAGTCCCCATTGTTGTTGCTCATTCTATAGTACTATATAGAGGTATTGATATGTTATTTGAGGAGTATCACAATCAGCTAAACCTAGATGATGTACGTAGTATGTCAGCTCCTCAACCATAAAATGTTCTATACTGATACATCGAATGGTTTGTTACAATGCCACATCCTTACATGACACCAAATGCACATGGAGACCCACCTAGGTAATCTCATTAGCTGATATTGGAATAAGAGTATATTAGGGATGATCATGTCATTGATGTGTTTCTAATCTATCAACGTGTTATAGCTATTAGGAGAGCGTACATAAAGAGATGAGAGTTTTAGGTAGGCACCGTTGGGGGGGCCACTGTAGAGGCCATGATAGCCCAGACTTTCATTGCAAATGATTTGTTTAACTCTTTATTTAATCTTTCAATTTTCTTAGTGGCATGACCAACAACCAACATGCCATCAACATATATTTAGAGAGTAATAAAATCACCATAAAATAATTTCTTCACAAAAAACATAATGATCAGTAATAGGTTCATCGTAACCATTCATTTTCATGAAAGAATCAAACTTTTTTTTTTTTACCATTTTTGCAGGGCTTGCTTGAGACCATACCAAGTTTTTTAAGAAAAGTTGTACAAATACTACCTAAATGCGATAGTGGAGGCTGATGGTGATGATGCATAGGTTTTTTTAATCATAGAGTATGTATGTTGTGGTCATACCTCGTGTATTTGGTTAGTATGTCCATATTGTGGACAAAATTGCATATTATGTCGATATTATCTACCTGAGATACTTTATTGACTTGGAGAGGATTCACGAGTACAACTAGGGAGATCTTGTTTGGTTTATTCTTTTCTAAGTTAGGTGAAACCTATTTATGAAAGGCTAGACAAATGACACCAATCAACATGCATTTATGGTAATATATTTATATATTTACTATTACTAATATTTAAAACACTTGTGCTACACCATTAATAATATTTCATTTAAACCATTTTAAAGTATGAATCCTCCAACACTTTGCACGTCTTTCCAGCTGGACATATGCGGATGACTATAACGAGGATTTTCCACATGCTTGCTCTTTCATCTCGCTCAAAGAAAATTAGGAAATAAAGCCATTTTTACTTTATCTTGATCACATTTGTGAGATATTGGATTGAACTCTAGTATGGTCGAATGGTAGCTTCTTGTTTTGACAATTCGATAGGAACTTAGCATGTCGTCAAAGTCTCTTCACATGTTGTAGTCAAAGTATGCTAGGAGTGTTAGCATGTCAAATTGTGCCTGTTTATTATGCCTAATTCTTTAAGTTAGCTTGTTCTCAAAGTTAGCTTGTGTAATGGGTCTGTGTGTAAAAGCCCATTAGGTTAGTGTGTTAGTTTTCTTATAAATAATATGCTAGTCTATCATCTTTGATATAAGGCAAATCCTAATTAGGGTGAGAAAGGTTATTTGCTATTTTATAACACTTGTAATCGTGTTTCAAAGAGAAAGTAAACAATAAAAGTTTATAACCAATTTCATTGTGTTCTTCTTGCTTCCCTATTTTCTAACCTTGTGGGTTTTTTGCTGATCAAGAAACCAATTATACTTTGTTATTCTGACATCTTTTTTCAAAAAAAATTGGTGTGGTGAGCGTGGATAAGATGTCGTCGATAAAGTATGAGATTGAAAAGTTCACTGGAGTGAACGATTTCGGTCTGTTGAGCTTGAAGATGGAAGCCTTACTGGTTCAGCAGGGTTGTTTAGAAGCGTTGAAGGGAGTCGCAGCCATGAACGATGGGTTAAAGGACAAAGAAAAAATGATTATGGTAGAGAAATTCACAACACCATCTTATTGAGCCTTGGTGATAAGGTTCTTTGACAAGTTTCAAAGGAGACGACGACGTCGGGGTTATGGGTGAAACTCGAAAGTTTGTACATGGCCAAATCGTTGGTTAATCACCTCTACCTAAAGCAAGCTCTGTATTCATTTAAGATGAGTGAAGACAAATTTTTTACTGAGTAGTTGGATATGTTCAACAAACTGCTTTTTGATCTTAAAAATATCAATGTCAAGATCGAGGATAAAGATTAAGCGTTATTGTTGTTGTTGTGTACTTTGCCTATATCACATGCTCACTTCAAAGAAACTATCTTGTATGGAAGAGAGTCTTTGACCATTGAAGAAGTTAAGTCAACCTTGTATTATAAGAATTTGAACTAACGAAAGGAGCACAAGCCATCTTTGACTGGTGAAGGCCTGTCGGTTAAGGCGAAATTCACAAAGAGAGATGGCAAGTTTGATAAGAAGAATGGTAAAAGTCAACAGAAGTCTTATAGAGGTGATGCATCCGATATTTGATGTTATCATTGTAAGAAAGAGGTTCATACAAGAAAAGTATGCACTGAACACTTGAAAGATCGTGAAGGTAAGGATAATGGCAACACAACCATTGTTCAAGATGATTTTTACTCATCTGATGTTCTTGTGGTTTTAAGTGGCGACTCAAGTAAATAGTGGATTATAGATTCAGGTTGCACTTGGAACATGACTCCAAACAAATACTTGTTTGAGGAACTATGTGATCAAGATGGTGGATTTATATTGCTTGGAAATAATAAAGCTTGCAAGATTATAGGTGTTGGATCTGTGAAATTCAAGCTCCATGATGAGTCAATAAGGTTATTGATCGAAGTCATGTATGTACTTGATTTGAAGAGAAATTTGATTTCTCTTGGTGAATTCAACAAGAAAGGATATGTTTTCTAAGGAGAGAAAAGTATTCTAAAAGTCATGAAAGGGTCGAAGGAAGTCTTAAGAGGCGTGAAGAAATAAGGCTTGTATACCTTTGAAACTGAAGTTGTAAGTGGTTATACAGATGTTGCATCAACAAATCCTTTGTTAAAGACAAAAATTTCTCACATGATATTAAACCATGTTAGTTAAAGGGGTCAGGTAGAATTGAGGAAACAAAATCTACTTGGTGGAGATAAAGTCAAAAAGCTGAAGTTTTATGAACCCTGTGTACTTGGAAAATATTGCAGAGTAAAGTTCAATAAAGACA